TCAGCATGGCTGGAGAAGCGGTGCGTAGGTGCGCGCCCAGGATCCGAACCCGGGCCGCCAGTAGCAGAGCGTGTGCACTTAACCGCTAAGCCATGGGGCCGGCCCCTTTAAGTGTTTTCTGCCTGTGAGGCATGACCTGCCTTTTTAAAGCCCTTCCTTGAATACCTCATGACACAGAGCTTTGCAGGGCTGAAACACAGGGCTGCTGTGGAGGGCGGGCTCTCCAGCCAAGCAGGCCGCCTTCCAGGTTAGCCCTTCTGGGACAGACTTTTCCTGCACGGCCATGAAATCTGCAGCTGGCTCCAAGGCAAACAGAATCTATTTGATTTTCAAGTTCATTCATTGGGCTTAGCCTGATCAAAAAGAAAGATGCAAGATTCTTCCTCAGGAGTTCAGGACCATGACAATCAAGCGTTTCAAGGGCTAAAAGAAAAGCTCACAGCATCCAGTCAACACCCCAAAGCGGTTCACAGTTTAGAAGGCAGGAGAGAACTTTGTTTACCTTATTGATGAGAGTGACTATATCTCCTTCTTTGATTGTCAATTCATCATCATTCTGTGCCTCATATGGAAATATTACTTTGCAGTAATCCTTGGCTGTAAGAAGAAAAGAAAATACAACCTTTAAAATGCTTTATCTAATGAGATGGCCCAGGAGAAGGTGTTCTCTATCACATTAACTTCAGGGAAAACACACTTAACAGATAGGATATAACTACTGCATAAAGGAAGGGTCACCCTCAGAAAACTACCTCAGATTGCTCATTTGGGGCTCATGCATATTTATTCTCTTCATTTTTTCCCCTCACAAATCATATGACGTCATGAAATGCCATTGCCTTGCTTCTCTCAAGCATAAAAGCAAAAAGGTTTCCTTGGTCTCAGGAAAATAGACGTGTATATTTTATATACTCTTTATATACTATTTTATATACCCTTCGGGCGCATGCCAAAACAGACATAATCTACAAAGAGCAAAATGCTTAAATTTTGCTCTCACTGCCTTCTTCCACATAACACTAAATCAGAAACAGGACATTTGTGTATGTTACAAAGCTGACATGGTACTCAAAACAATGAAAAAGACTCCATTATGGTACATCTTAAGATAGAGATGTCGACGTATTTGTATGTGAACACATGTCAACCACAAACAGCCAACAAATGCTGACCAAATGTTCTTTACACACACACGTGGGAGGGGGTGAACTTGTTCGAGTATGTCCCATGGCCTCTCCGTGGGAACCTGCCTACTCATAGATGGGGCTGTTCATCAGCAAGGACATGCGCCAGCCCTCAGCAAAGAGGGAAAAACACTAAGGCCACTCAAAATTAGTTCACATATGTCCTGAATTATATGCTTTTGAAAGTCTATCTGATGTTAAATCTTCTCCATTTACACAAAAGCACCAGTTTAGAAGACAGTGAAAGCATTTGTAAGGTATTTCAGAAATTAAGAGCTGGAAAACTGGGGTTCGATGACTCAGGACAGAAGGTGGAAAGAAAAATTCAAGGGAATTAGTATCTACTGGGACAGGCATTTATTATTCTGCACCAAAGCCAACAATCTTAATGGCATTGAATGTCCTTAGGTACTGCCCAATGTTTAGGCCAGTTTCTGCAGACAGATCGTAACCTAGGGCAATCTACATAAGTATCAATTATATTGTCCTGGTACAATTTACATTACTGAAGTGTGCTTTCTTTTATTATGGTTAACGTCACATCAAAGAGAGTGATATATAAAATAAAAGCAATTTAAAAAATCTATAATACAGACACACTATGGTCTAGGGTTGAGATATGACAGAGCAGGGGAGGGGAGGGGAGAGGAAGGGGGAGAGGGAACTAGAGGGACTCACTTTGTCTCTGTGCAGATGTTTCTGTTTTCTGTCCCATGGCTGGAAGGTATCAGTTACATTCCCTATCCTAGTGCTAGAAATCTTCCGTCTCAGATATTCTGGGTCCCTGATGCCCTGTGCTCATTAACCAGTGCTGAGGGGCACTAGTTCCAAATGCCATTAATACCAACCTGCCTAAATAGTCCTTGGCCCACAGAGTTACCAACGTTCCATCTCTCTTTAATTAGTAATAGCAAACCTCCCAAATCCTGAATCTGCCAAATGTTCTACAGAGAGGGAAAAAGTTAAACATCTTTAAATTGGATAATGACAGCTCCTTACCAATTTTCCTATTGACTGTGCTAGTGAAACGTGACTACCCAACCTCAAAACTTACAACACTGAAACAAATACAGTATTATTGAAGGACTGCCCTGGAGAATCCCGGCTTTAACAATAATTCTTTGGATTGAAATCATGGAGATGTTTTACAAAGAAGACAAGACATCCGCGGCCAGCAAAGAAAAGGAAAAAGTCATGTTTCTATTGCTTTCTGTTCAAAAAGGTTAACTGTGGTAGATGCTGTTAGTTAACTTCCCAGCAGCCATTCCCCATTCCCTTCCTGGTTCACAGAATTCTAATGCATTCAGGCGTTATATTCAGGAATGGGGAACTCTCCCACAGCCCTAGGGATGAGTGAAACGTGTCTAGGCAAATAATATTAATCACACTCCCCTTTGTCAGTGATTGGTTTAGGAGTGAGCATATAATCTACTTCCAGCCAATGGGATGTGAGAGGAAATTTGCTGGGGGCGGGAGGCTGTTAGATTTTGTTCCCTGATAAAAAAAAAAAAAAAGAGATGCCAGGAAAATAGTTGCCCCTGTCTCTCTGCTTTTGACATTGTTTCTTTGTTGGAAGACAGTACAATGTTTGGTGGTATTGCAGTCATATTTCAACCATGAGAGGAAAGCCAAGAAAATCATAGAGGAGGTAACCTGACCCCTGACACTGTTGAGATGTCTGTCGAATTAACCAACTTCAGGCGTCTTGTCTCTGGATCTCTTGTCACCCGACTTAATAAAACTCTATTGCTTACCACTACTTTGTGGTCAGGTAGGTATTTATCATTCAAAGCAGAAGGTACCCTGACAGGAAGGTACTCAGTAGAAGAAAGAAGACACTTCCAGTTACCTCCTCTGAAACACTTAACTATAATCTGCCTCCCCCCAAAAAGCCTCTGTCTATGCATCTTTGTCATTCCCTTTCCCCCTAACTCTTCCCTTGCTACATTAGGACCTGGCCCATAGTAGGGACTCAATAAATGACTATGGAATTGACTTGTAACCAACCTAGTGAGAAAGCATTTATAAGAAAGTACTAGCATGCCTTTAAAACGCTTCACGGGGCCATTTTGTTTTATGCCCACAGTTTCCCTATAAGCTAAGGAGGACAGGTGTCCCTCTGCCTTTGTTTTAAACAGCTTTAGTGATATAATTTATATACCATAAAATTCACCCATTTTAATTGTATAGTTTGAAAAGTTTTAATAAGTTTATTCAGTTGTGTGACCATCACCATAACCCAGTTTTAGAACACTTCCACCATGTAGCCATGCTGTTTTACGTGTGAGGCACTAGACACAGAATTATCTAGAAAGTACCAATTTTAGACAAAAAGGAGGAGATACTGGTGCCAGTGGCTACTGCAACTACCACTCTCCATAAAGCAGGCTCCTGCATCATGTCTCACCCCTCTTTGCATCTCCAGAACCTGACACAGCTCCCACTCAATGTTTCTTGATCCCCTCGCGACATCTATAAAGTGGAGGAAAATTTGAGGGACAGCAAAGTAGGAGGATTGGATTCTGAGCCAGGAGTCAGCACAGTCAAGACTGGGTTCAGTCCCAGCTTGGCTGGCCTGAGCACATGACCAGAGGCAATCGTGCTGTAGCTCTGGACCTCAGTGTCCACAGGGGTAAAATAGGAGGCCGGCCAAGGAGGGGTGAGAGGAGAGTTTGGTTAACTTCAGCAGAACACTTTTAGTAAATGTAAACTTATTCCAAGACTCCAATGTAAAACAACTAAAAACAGAGCTGCTCTGGTTAGAGAGTGAGGCTCCTACCCAGGTCCCCAAAAACCTTTCAATGAAACTCTGGAGGCTCCAAGAAGCACACTGGGCTAGACCCCAGTTCCTGCCAGCTCTGATATTTCATGGCCCTAGTCACAGGCACTATAGCTCAGAACACTCCCGAACAAATATGGCAACCATTAGCCTCAAATTTCAAGTTATTACAATATATTTGAAAATAAGAATTTGTTTTTACTTCTGAGGCATTTGGGCTCTAATTCAGCAGTATTGGAAGATATTTTTATTTTTCCAATATTATATTTTCTATTATGCTGGTTTGGATGTACCAAAGGTTTTAAGATACTCAAAAATAAATGTATATGCAAAAAAAGTATTAATCCTGAGACTATGATTATAATTTTATAGTATATGGAATGAAGATCTTCTCTACTTTAATTCAAACATTTATTGAGTCACCACCATGAAAAAGCTGTTGTCAGTACTTAGGGCTGTGATATACAAGTCAGTCCAACCACCCCCTCTGACCCCCGCATGGAAGTGACAACCTAATGCCTGGAGAAAGGCGAGAGAAAAGAATGAAAGAAGAAAAAACAAACCCACAAATGAGCATAAACTCACTCTGATGGAGTATTGTTGTGGTGTTTCAGAGAAAGGCAAGATTACATTCAGGAGAGAGTTCACAAAAGAGGAGGCATTTGATAGGTCTTGAAAGAAGAATACGATTCCAAATTCTTTTTGGACGTGGGAAGATAATAAATTTTAAATGAGTAGCAGACAGAGATGGAGAGGAAGGGAATGAAATTAGTTTTTGGAGGCAGGCATTTTCCATCTATTCATCAATTAGATGGATTTAATTAGTCTAAGATCAAATAGGAAGGCATACACACATGCATATAAAGAAATAAACACATAATTTATCCAGTGATTGAGATGATGTTGTTTCTATTTTTTCTTTAGAAAGATTAAAAAAAACACTAATGAATTAACATAAGACTGAAATCCTGTCAGTTCTTAAGCTTTTTTGTCTTAGAGTCCTTTAAGTATCTGATAAAAGCAATGAATTGCTTTTTCCAGAAATAGGAACAAAAAAAACATAAACACATTCAAAGGTACAGAGAAAATGTGTGTACAATCTCAGGAGGTTCAAGGAACTGGAAACCCTTACCTAGTTCCAGATGAAGATCCCCTGTACTAATGAATGATTGGTGTTCCAATTTTAAGAAATTTGCTCTATTAAAACCACCAAGAAGTCTAGTCATGATTCACATCGCCCCCCCCCCAAAAAAACACATTATTTCAATCTGTAAACTTGTAGAAATTTACATGAGATTAAAAACAGACTGTTTAAGGAATTGAACTCACATGCCCACATCCTATGACTCCCTTCAGCTTGTTTTATAATCTATTCATATAAAAAACAAACAAACCAACTTAAAAAATGCCCTCAGCTTTAAAAAAATAAAAGCAGAATAAACATAGAAAGCAGAACATATACACACATACACCAACGAAATAACATTAAATCCAGGACGATTCTCTGGGCTCAATTTTAGGACACGAAGATCAAAACTCCATGTGTCACAGAGTCTGGTAGGAAGCCTTCCAGAACTTTCAGCAGGGGTGGAAAGTACCAGGTCACGCCTAGAACTCTTTTCCTTTGGGATACC